ACATATAGCTATCGGGGGGCGAATCCCACCTCTTGACCAGGAGCGGACGCACATATAGCTCCACAGAGCCGCCGGTCCCCGCCCCCAACCCCCAAACTTTTTTTTTCCTCCCATAAAGTTATGGCCCCCTTCAAGGCTCCAACTTTGTTTTTTTTTTTTTTTTCCCTATACTAGTAACAGTCCTAGGAATTCTGCCGCCACTTCCTCTTTAATATTTTTTTAATCTTTGTTTTTTTATTTTTCCTTGATCTCACTTACCTCCGACTATTATTAAATTCGTTCATTTTTTCTTTAATTCTTATTCTATTCAAAATATGAAAAAGAAAATTTTTTTCCTGATCTGGATTTTTTTATTCTACGACACAATAAGTATTTTAAAAAAAAATTAATAATTTATTAATTCTTATTATATTATTTACATAATTAATTTATTAAGTTTTTCATTTTATATATTGATTAAATCTTGATAACTAATCAATTTTCTTTTTTAAATAATATTTTATAATTAAAATATTAGATCAGTTGTCGTGCAAATTTTATTTTATGTGATTAAGGTATCTATTGAAATATTGGATCTATAACTTAGTAAAATTCTAATAATCTATCGACTTGAATTAAAATTGTACTATTGATCTTGAAATTTTGTGTCGTTGATGTGCTTGTAGTTGTAGACCCAAAGACAAAAAACAAAAAAACAATTGTAATAGTAGGAATGCAGGATTACAATTTACAAATAATCATTCTTCTTTCATTACTATCTATTAAAACATATCTTATACTAAGCTTCGTAATAAGATGGAAGATAACTTTCTTTTCGATTATTTATTAGTATATATTGAAAATGAAATTGTTGAAAATTTTAGTATGAATTCACTTATAGATGATTTTTATGACTTGAAAGGACGAAGATCTCTATTTTAAGTGCTTGTATTTTGAGACTATTTTAAAATATATATATATATATATATATATATATATATATAATTAAACTAACAAACAATTCATTTCGTAGAATAATTAAATAATTTATGCTCCAAAAAATTTAATAAATGTTATTAACACGTAAATCACTTATTTAACAATTAATTAATTAATTAAACTAACACCTATTCAAATTTTTAAATGCAATTAAATTATTTAAATACCAACAATTTTACTTAATTTAATTAACAACTAAATAAAATTTATTTAACTCATAATTTATTAAACTAACTCTTAAATAATTATTTAAATAAAAACTTATATTAATTAACAAATAAAAAATACTTATAAGAATATAAAAAAAATTAAACTAACTAACAATTAACCAATAAATCACTTATTTATCAACAATTAACAATTAAATTTTTTAAATACCAACAAATAAACTTAATTTTATTAACAACTATATAAATCAAAATTATTTAACACTTAATTTATTAAACTAACACTTAAATAATTATTTCAATAAAAAATTAAATTAATTAACAAATAAAAAATACTTATAACAATAAAATAAATTAAACTAACAATTGACTAATAAACAATTAACAATTACACTAGCTAACAATATAACTAAATAAAAAATAATTAACAACAACAACAATAAACATTTACCAACAATAATTAACAACAACAGCAATTAACAATTAACAACAAACGATTAAAAATTAACAAAAAATTAAATTATTCAAAAAAATGAAAAAAAAAATTAACGCATGGGTTACCAAAGAAGATCTGCTACCAAGCCAGAAGGAGGAGCTGCTGCTATCGTGGAGGAGTTGCTACCACTGAGAAGACGAGTGAAGGGAGGAGGAGGAAAGGAGAGAAAGAAGAAGAAAAGGAAGGAAGAGAGGGGAATAGATGGAGGAGAAGAAGCAAAGAAGAGAAATGAGGAGATTTAAAGGGATATTAGGGGAGAAGTTGGGAAGAAATTTTGGAGTGTGCAGCTACTGGAAGAAGAAGAAGGAGAGAAAGAAAATTTTGAGGAAAAAGATGCGGGCAATAGGCTTTAGGGATTTAGGTTTTTATCAATAGTTTTGGTCCCTGCCACTAAAACCATCGTTAATAAACTTAAATTTCAAAATATGGTCGTTTTCCCTCCAACAGTCAAGAATTAGCAATAGTTCTCTCAAATAATTGCAAATTTTCTCCCCCAAAATTCTCTTGGGAAATCGGAGGATTTAGCGACGATTTTATTCGTTAATCGTCGCTAATTTTCATCCGAAACAACAGATTTTAGTAACGGTTTAAAAAATCATCGCTGAAATCAATATATTATTTTAGAATTAGCAACTCGTTTAATCTCTAATTTCAAATTAATTACTTTGGTTAGCAATCGGTCCACTTAAACCGTCGCTAAATTCAATCTTTTTTTACTGAATTAGCAACGGTTTAAGAAACCGTTGCTAAATTCTCGTTTCAAAAAGGGATTGCCTATGGTTCTTTGAATACCATTGCAAAATATTGTTTTGTGCAACTAATTTTTAGTCCATCGTAAAAATACCCTCGTAAATTCAATTTTTACGATAGTGTTAGTTTTTCGATTTGGTTCAGTTTTGCCCACCCATAGTTTAAACCCAATGGTTATTGTTGATAAAAGAGATGACAATCTTCCCAAAACTAATCCTGAGCAATGTTAATAAATTATTAAACAAGCTATATACACCTTCTCATGTTGAGAATGAAAGTACTACGAAACAGATTCCAATCCATGCATTATCACAGTCTTGTTAAAAAATATATATACTATGGGTTACAAAAACAAACATGATTGTCACCAACAAATCATAAAATAGGAGTATCATAACAAGAAGTAAATGTATGAATGTAGTCACTAAGAATTATTGCAAACTCATTATGAATTATTATACCCTTTCAGTCCATCGTACATAAATTGATCGATGTCGCTTTGGTTATCTTTGCAAGAAAATTTGCTGGCAAAAACAATCGAGTGTTGAAGGGGTAATTCAAGAAGTGGGAGCAGGGTTTCAAATGCACCATTGTTTAGAGAGGGAAAAAAAAAAAAAAAACAAGAAACAATTTTAAGGACAGGAGGTGTGTTTCTGGGCTTCTTATTTCTTGGATTTGGCATCAAATGTTTTTGGCCAGCTCAAAATGGGCTTTCAATCGTTGAAATTAGCCTTTTATTTTTTTATTATTATTATTATTGTTATTTTGTAATAAACACGGCCTAAGTCTAAAGAAAAGAAACTACATGCATCTAATACGATGGATAGCAATCCCAATCATATCAAAATACAAAAGAGGAAGCACATCCTCCATTGGAATCCCCAAAAAAAAAAAAAAAAAAAACAATCTTCACTTGTGCCGTCAAAGATGGAATTAATACAACAATACACTCCACCTTAGAGGAAATACACCATCCTACGTAGGCCTACAAAGCATGGAATACATTCAATAATAACTGTAACAGCTTATGTGTTAATCAAGATTATTTTACGCATAACTACGAAAAACGGTAACAGTCTTAGCCGACTCCGATAAATAATAGCCATTATATTATCCAACAGTAGCAATTTAAAACTATATTATGTAGCGTAATTGCTTGCCATCACATGATTTTCGGTTATATCTGGAACTGAAAGAAGCCAGCAGGACACACCAAACACTTCTTGCCACTGAGAAATGGCATTTTTGGTATGAATAATCTAAAGTGTGCAAAGCAACTTTGGCTGTACAACTTGAATGTTTTCTCCGTTTAAGGGTTTGAATTAGTCCATTGCTGATCCTGTCAGAATAAATGCAACTGAGAAACGGTATTTTCTGGTATGATAACAAGTTGACGATCAAAATGAGAGATAAAAAAGAGTTATTTTCAATAAATTATGAACTTTTCCTTAAAACCAGCACATAAAACACCTATAATAGGCGACTGATGCATTTACTTGTTAATCAATTAAATAGAAGGTATACCAATCCAAATACATAAAAAGCATTACAAGGGTTGTCGATCAATATAAGAACTCTCTAAACTGGGAAAGTTCTCCAATTAAGTTCCTACACAGCTAGCTGCTTGAAACTATACTAGGAAGAAAGACCTTTTCTTTTTCAAGGTTTTACGGCTGGGTGATATCTCCATAGATAGAAGGTTCCAAGTTTCTGTTTAAACAAACAGGGCTTCTGCAAATGAGATAGAGAAAAGTAAAGTTACAGAGGGGAAACATAGGCTTAGACCCCAATATCAAGAAAATTCTACAGAGGAGAATTTCCACATCAAACATAGACTAGCCAATACATGCAAGGCCCGAAGACAAAATACAGTAATCCCAACCTGATGATTCATGCATTCCACCCTTTTTTTTTTTTTTTCCCTTGCCTAGTCTATGGATGAAACAAAGTTTGCTTAACATTTCTCTCAAATGAGAGAAATTGACAACTTGTAATTCAGGACTACCGGTTCCTAAATCTAACAGAACATTTCTTACGCCTAGCAATTTATTACAGTTAAGAGCAGAATGAATACCCATTAAAGAATTTGTATGTCAGTCCCAACTGATACATTCCCCAACAAGTACATCCAGCTTGATGGTCCTCCTGAACATTGGACACCATTACAACTCTCTTCGCTGCAACTTTCTTGACTTCCAATGGACAAGATGGATCAAAATAAAAGGGAGAGTTTATCCTGTACAATCTATCCCCTAAGCTTAAATTTTTGCCAGGAATTACAACATAGAGCAACAAAATAAAGCTCCTTGGAAGAATAAAACGAAAAAAGACTTCCCAGTCACCATATCCCATGTATATTTTCCATCATGATACACATTTATGCATATGACTACAAGTTTTAATGAGATGAGAGTTGTTGATAATCTTTTAAAGGAAAATATTAAATAGATAAAGATGAACCCTTATAAAACCAGACTCACAATAAAGGTGAATCTCTGCCACTCCCAAGCTCCAAAGCACATTAGTTCCAATGGAGTATCCAAATTAGCCAAGCGATTGATATACACAGAATGGCCATCCAGTTGCAACATCTTTAATTCTTTCCTCGGTCAACTCCTTACTGATTCAGAGGTTATGTGGCCACTATTCCCTTGATGTGCACTCAGGCCAGTACTGGTATTCCGTTGCTGCCCAAAATGTATTAAAAGCTCCATCTGGTGTTCATTCGTATGAGGAAGGCAAGCTCGTAAAAGCTCAACTGGCATTTCTCGTTTTGTAGCTGCATGCACCTCTGAATCAATACCTTCTGTACTAGGTGGTGTCTTTGCATAGACTGATTGCAGTATTGTATCATATTTAATCAGGCAGTACTTTGTAAGAAGATCAAAAAATTCATCAAATGATGCCTGCCAGAGAGCAAAATTGGGCATAGCACAGTTGGCAGAAGACTGAGGACCATGTAATAGTTTACTAGCCCTTTCAAGAAGACACTTCAAAATAACTGTGGCCCCATCCCCAGCAGAACTACCAAGAGGCCGAAACGGTGGCTGCTCTGAAGAACAAACTACCGCAACAAGGCAAGCACTCAATGCATGAAGATCCATGCCATTTACACATGCAGAAACTATATTTGTGAGATTTGTAGTTGTGTCGGCTGCTCCCGTATCTGAGGGAATCCCACCAAACAAAAACCTCAAGTGACGGAAAATAGCCATGCAGACAACTCGGGTGAGTTCATTGCCAGGGTATAGAAGCTGAAGAAACCTACAGATAAGCTTTCGACCCTTGGGAAGAGATACTAACCGCAGGAACACAATGTCATCCTTTGAGGCCAGTCCAACAGTTTTAGCAGTTTGGCCAAGTGGGTCAACAAGCTGAAGCGACGCTGCCAGTCCTTCAAGCAAGTTCTGCCGCCTACGCCTGAGTTGAGCCCCACCATCTTGGGGCTGATTACACTGCAGGAAACGGTCAATATCATCTACATCAAGAAGAACAGACAGGCTATCTTCAATGGTGATTCTAGCTGCAAGCATAGGTTCCTGTTCCAAAGGCCTCTCAGAGATTTGTTCAGAGTTTCCATCACCAGAAACAGGAGGATCAACTTCAAGAAGGGGCGAGGCCTACGTATGGGAGGGAGGGGAGTCTTCCCAAGAGCATCAAAATGGAGATGAGAATGCTGGTCCGCACTGTTACGAGATCTAGAAGGGAGATCCTTCAAGTGAGATGGGCAGAAATTTTGTTTAACTCTTGACCCAGTAGATCTTTTGGCAAGAGAAGCTTGGTGATAGTAATCATCTATATACGGGTCATTACTATGCGTGGCAGCATGCTGCATTTTCAGAATACTCTCTATTTCATCAGCTGTCATATGCTTGGATCGAAATTGCACCCAGCCACTATCACTTTTCTGACTACTAGTGTCAGAGCCTTGCGAAAAGCGCCGGTTTCTTTGGGATGACTTATGTTTGTGATCCCTGATATGTAACGATGAAGGATGGCCATTAAAGAGTTGAGATTGCATTGCTGCAAAATGAGCCAATGATGATTGAACTGAAGGGTGCAGTCTCTGCTGTTGCAATTGCTGCTGCGGTGACATCAACTGGGCAGACATTAGACCATTTTGATGGGATAATTGTTGTTGCAATATACTCTGTAAGAGCCTAGACTGATCTACATGTAACAGGCCAGCATGGTTGACCCAATGTTTTTGTGGCCTGTTATTAAAAGAAAGGCCAGGAGATGAGATCTGGGGCAGATTTCCACTATAATGTAACCCATGCTGTAAACCAGCCAGATGAAGATTAGAGTTGGACAGAGGAGACAGATTTGGAGCAGACAAGTGTGAATGCAATCCACCAGCAAGAGAAGTAACATTAAGGTGGTGTGGCGAAACGCCAGGAGGGGGAAAGATGTGAAATTTGATTTGGGTACAGGAATCAGTTCAGTTGCGAAGTGAGGCTGCTGTAGTGGCTGCTGGGGATATGAGGAAGTTCTGTACAGAGGTTTTGATTCTGAGAAACGAGCAGAAGAAGGTTGGGGCTGTGATGACCATCTCTTGCCATCCTGAGCATTTTCTGCACTGAACATTTGTTGATCTAACCAGCTAGCAAACTCTCCATCTTGTCCCCAATCAGTGGCAGATGAACCTGAAAAGAAAATTTCTATTAGATGTTATGGCATAAAGCATACTTAGACACCACTATAGAAGTAACACTGACCTAAAAAAATTATATGTTACTCTTTCTGCAAACTGTAAACTATGGTATGCTAAGATAAAAAAGAAGAGATAAATTGATATTAATCCTGAAATAAACTGCTAGGAACTGCATTTTAGTTCACAAACTGGGAAACACCACAGAAATCGTTTGCACTAGTCACCAGCAAGTTATATGAAGTATGCATATAACCAAAATATCTTATTACTTCTTTTAATTCAAAACTAGGAGACAAACAACCATCTGACACAACAGAAATTGTTCATAATAATTGCCAGAAAGTGATATGAAGTATGGATGTACCAGAATGATTAAAAAAAAAAAAACATTTTACCAAGAAGCAACTCCCCATCTTACAAATGGCAAGTTCTTCTGACCTGCATATAAATGAAAGGACTTCTACTAAAAATCTTTAAAATTCAATTCAACTTTCAAGCTAACAATAAAGAATGAAAGCATTTCCATTCAATAATACTTTTTGGCTCAGAAATAAAGTGACAACAATTATATAAGAATTAAATCTCACCTCTATCATATGGTCGTAAAAACTAATCAAAGCAAATTTGCAAAATAACAAGTCTAGGAAACTTCTTGATTTAGTTAAAAAAAAATAATGTCAACAAAATTTAAAATAGTTGAACTCACTTTCCCTAGAAAAGGATCCAGATCCTCTGTCACCAATAACTCCTGGATTTCTTGGTCCCGTTACAACTCTGTTCAACTATGTAGGTGGGCAACAAATTCACAAGCCAACAGAAAAAGACATTAGAGAGCATCCATAAATCCTCAGGTTGATAAAATATCAGAGCCAAGAAGATTAGAAATAATAGTAGCAGGAGAATATTGAGAGAAAATATTCCTAACAGAAGAATGTGATATAATGACAGCAAAAGTTCATCCTATCTTCCAAGTTTGGGCTGACTGTTGAGGAAAACTTTGATTATTGTTGCTTATCTCAAACTTGTTGTTAGGCTAACTAATGCATTTGGTGGCAGTTCATGTTTAGAAATTAAAACTCAACTAACAGAAAATGTAAGCTCAGTTCATCCTCTCTTAGAGGCATTTAAATGAAATTTAATCCTTCCTCGTTTTAGACCTCCTCAAGGCATACACATACTAAATCGCATAGCTCATTTAACAGAAGGTATTTTCAGTTATTTATCCAAACCAAGAGTTGATAAAGAGAAAGCTAAGTGTCATTCAAAGAAAAAGAAAAGAAGCAGGATAGTTAAAATAAAAAAGGCACGATGCGTATGCTTAACATTGGATAGGGGCAATATGCCTAAATAAGATCATCACAGAGCAGGGTGGAACATTTTCTTTGGATGAATTTAGCATGGTTGGAAAGGAGAAGAATGCTATAATAGCTATACTAAAAATCACTAAGTAGGATAGAAGATTACTTTTGACATATTTAAAATGTTTGTTGTGATTTGGAGTATTTGGATGGACCAGAATTCAAGAATACTCAAAGAACCATTCAACTATAGAGTAGAAAGATAAGTTTTCTTGGCTCTCTCTGTGAAGCATTGCTTCTGCAGCATTTAACAAAACATCTTCAGCAGACATTCGGTGGTGCTAAAATACCCTCTTTTTATTGATTTTTTTTTCTATTTCTTGTATTCTGCTATGGAGATTAAGGAAAACTTTTCTTCTCTCATTCTCCCAAATTCTTACATTTTAACAATCTGAGATGAAGACAAGTTGAGTAGAGGCTAAGGGATCATGCAAGCAACAAATAATACAAAATATGTTCAGATCAAGGGAACAATTGACATGACAAAAGAGGATCAAATGTCCCTTCCACTTTTTCTCTCCCTTCCACAAACTTATAACCTAGCATCTTTCCTTTCACTTGGGACAAAACCATCAGGGCCTAATATAACATTGTGTTTTGTATTTTTAAATTTAGATGCATCATAAAACTGATAACCCTATTGGAACCTAGTAATATGCAGTTTTTAAGCTCTTACCAAAATCGTTACAAGCTTGCTTTTGCACCTTTCACAATTACTCTGATAATTATCCACGTAACAATTTACCTCTTTTTCTCTAACCGTGTAGTAAAGGTATAACAACTAAACTTATCATCTTAATAAACAGAACATAATGGAATTAAATATAAAACATGCAAAACTCATCAGATACTATGTTATACATATTACATAATCATATAAGTTAAAGAATCTAACCTTAGCAAAAGTACTTGCCAGATCATCAATTTCGGATAAAGATCCTAAACCTACACCCTGAAATCAAAGGAATAAAAAAGGAAGAGAACAAAAATGAGAGACATTATAGCAGCAATTTTTGCCCCTAGAAGTTAAAATCAATACTCGATTTTAGAACACAAAAAGCAAACTTAATACTGTTAAAGAATAGTCCCACATGTTCAAGAAAAATCAACCACAGCCTTGGGAAGCATGAAATGATAAAAACACAGGAAAGAACAAACATAGCTGACCCCAATGGCTACACTTAAAGCTTCATCAAATTAAGCACAGAAACCATTCTCCTCTGCCAGAGTATAAGAAGGCCTACATGCTCCTTTTTTAAGCATCAGACTGGCAATTTCTTACTAAAAAACTTCTAAACATCAGATGCGATTTATGAAATGAGTGGTTTTTGTTTCTTTTCTCAAGTTAAGTATGAATTTGTTTCATCCATGAATGAGAAAGGACCTGGAAACTTCATTTGATACACATCTAATGATCATTTAAAAGAGTAATTGCCATTCAAAAATCAAACTACATATCAGCAACCTCCTATGTTTTCAAAAGAATAATTAACACTCAAAAATCAACACACATATATGTATCACTAACCTCCTGTGTTCTCAAATGCCATAATTAGCTCAGTATTATGTTTTTAATCTTTTTTAATTTTGATAGATTAACTTAAAACTTCTAGTTTTGTAATGAGTGCACAATGAAGACAATCACATCGAGTTTCCAAGCTACAATAACAATCAATTACTGTGTAATACGACCTTAATTGATATCTGCATCCAAAACAAAACACATTATACATATAATCAAACAGATCATAGAGATAAAACAATAAGCTAATCAGATTATATCCAGCAGTCATGAATTAAAGACAAGAGCAAAGGTGAAAATAAATGCCAAATGGACTACAGGAGCCAAAAAAAAAAAAAAACAGATCTTACTTCATCTCTATCAAACAAACGATACTCATCATCAGCAGGTCCAAGCACAAGATTGTCACTTGCATCTTCTAAACCACCCAAATCCACTTCTTCCACAGCATGTTGGCCAAAAAATTCGTACTGTGAAGCATCAAAGAGTGCACCTGAAAGACAGTTTGGAAAAAAAAGTCATGGAAAGTCGCAGATTTAACAGAAGCGCATGCTTGAGCACACACATATCTACATAAAACAGTAGGAAAACTATGAGTCATCTGAATTCATGTTCTAGGATAGAACACTATATTGCACCCTGAACAGAGGGCTAGAAGCCAAGGACTAACAAATATAATATTAGCTCGGATCCAAAAAGATCTCACCACTTTACTATTTAAACTCTAATTAAAAATTAGCTCAGATCGTCAGTAATTGTGCTGCAAGATAGGATTTTTCTTGTGGTTTCTAAACATTGACCCAATATGATGTGAGAGTCTGAAGGAGTTCAAGACAATTCACAACAGAAGCTAGGCATCAGCTATAAAAACTAGGAACAAGTGATCGGTTTTCAGCTTTAGCATTCATGAACGCAATCACCACTTCACTTCAATCTATTCAGTAGAGACCATGTTCCAGAAAATCATGTAAGGTCTACGACCAATAACCATTATTGAAAGACAGGCACATAACAGCCACATTACTAATCCAAAGTAAGGTCATTTCATCCAAATGCCAAACTAATATTCACTCTACTCCAATTTCACAAATTTGATAACAAAAAAGCACAGCTTGCATTGCATTTCAAGATAAAACAAAAAAGAAAAGCAGCAAAACTGCTCATTGAAACAACAAAAGAACAGAACTTAAAAAAAAAAAAAACCCACAAACTACACAAACACAAAACCCAAAAATCAGCCCTGTACTAAAATTTAAGCATATTCCCATATCTAAAGAATTTATCCCCAGAATCATCCCCAACCAAAAAATAAATAAATAAACCAATCTTTCTTAAATCCCAAGATTTTAGCTTCTAGAAATTTCCCTTTAAAGTTCAAAAGCTCTCTGTTTATTCCATTTCATTTCTCAACACCGAAAAACGAAACCCTTGAATCAATTCCCAAAAAGGATCAATCTTTACCATCAAATACATAAAATCATACACAAAAAAGACCAAAAATCAAATAATTAGAGAAAGAGAAAGGGAAAAACCCGAAGAAGAATCAGCGAATTCTTTGAAACCTTTACCATCAGATCGCTCCATGTTTACCAAAACCTGCAAGCAAGCATAAAAAAAAAAAAAAAAAAGGAAAGAAAACCCTAGATTTCGAAAAGAAAACAACGATGTTTTTTTGTTTTCAACTGGAAAAAAGAAAAACCCTAAAAGAAGTGAATGATTTATGATTTGCTCACGGAAAGAAGGATAAGAAGAAGGTGAGAGCAAAAGAGAATGGCACGGAGATGTAAATAAAGAGAAAGTTATGGTTTATTCTGTGGAAAAGAAACTCCTCTCCTCTAGACAGAGAGAAAGAGAGGGATTATTTTTCAGCATCGAAGAAGAAAGGAAAAGAAGGAGGAGGACTCGTTTTTCCGTCTTCGCGAGTACATGTGCAGATTGAGCAAAACACGGTTAGGTCAGACAGAAGAGAAATTATTGTTATTGTTATTAGTTGGTATTGCTTAATTACTTGTATGACTAAATTATGAATTAGTCCTTTTAGTTTCAAAAAATGAATTAATTAATCATTCTTATTTTAAAACTTAATTATTTAATCAGTTGACCGGCAACATTTAAGTTCATATTACTTTATTTCAGATCTCATCAATTTTTCTATAATATTTTTTATTTTTATTTAAAAAGTTAAACAAATTAAAAGAAAGTATAAAATAAACAAAAAAAAATTAAATAATTATTTTTTAAAATAAAAAAAATTAATTAATTTGTTTCTCCAAACCAGAGGAACTATTTATAATTTATTATTACTAGTATTAATATTATTTTTTTGAGTCAAGAATAATAAATAAATAACCTCTAATCAACTTTCCCGTGTTGAGACTAATTATTTTCTTACCAAGTTTAAAATTAATTAAAGTTGATAACCTTCGAAGCAAGCTCATCTGACGCTGGAGCCAACACATCCAGAGCATATTTTTGTTTTTTTTTTTTATTATTAATTTTAATGACTATTATTGAGCTAGCTTTCGCATAATAAAACTGTGTGCTTTTTTCTTTTTTATTTTAACAGGTGGATCATGTTATATATTGGGAAAAAAATTGATAGCCTTTATAGTTTGATTCAAGACGATAATATACAAATCAAATTGTCTTTCTATTGGAGTCAAAACATTTGAGATTTATTACTAATGTAGTAAAACTAATTAAATAAACTAAAATAAGATTGGTTTAGTAGTAAACTATTTCATTAACGTTATCAAAGAGTTTGGATACGTGTACGGATATTATCGTTGTAGCTTTTGCCTAGTTGATACGATAAGGATCATTCTACATATATGTTTGATATTGTAAATACAATGTATCGTATGCATGCATCGATTGCGATGGATTGTCTTTCGTTTCTCTACCAAAATATAGATTTTTCTTTTTATTTAGTTATAAAAGATATTCTCAAACTAACTTATAATACATATCAAACGAAACTAAATTTTTTTTTAGATAATTTTAAAGTCACACCTCTCATATCATTCTATTACATTCAAAAGAAATGAATAATAATTAATAAATATTTTGGATGTTGGTCTCAAAATTTAAATCCATGAACCCGAGGAAAAAAAAATTTCATGACTATCAAGTCAACCTTTTTGGATTGAGACTACTACATGTTTGGTGAGCAAACTTTTTTACTTTTCTATTTGAGTATTCTAATTTTTATTTTTACCATTCGAGTGTGTGAACTTATAAAAAAAAAAAATTGATCAATTGTTTATATTATATTCTATCGAACACATACTGGAGTAAATTATTGTTATTTTTATTAGTTGGTATTGCTTAATTACTAGTACGAGTAAATTATAAACTAGTCTTTTTAATTTCAAAAAATGAATTAATTAATATTTTTATTTTAAAACTTAATTATTTAATCATTTAACCGACTACATATAATTTCATATAACTTTATTTCAAATCTCATCAATTTTTCTATAATATTTTTTTATTTTTTATTTAAAAAATTAAACAAATTAAAAAAAGTATAAATAAAAAAATTAAATAATTAGATTTTAAAATAAAAAAGGCTAATTAATTTGTTTCTCCAAACTATAGGAACTATTTATAATTTATTACTACCGGTATTAATATTATTTTTTTTGTAAGAATAAAAAATAATAAATAAATAACCTCTAACCAACTTTCCCATGTTGAGACTAATTATTTTCTTACCAAGTTTAAAATGAATTCGAGTTGATAACGTTAAAAGCAAGCTCATTTGGTGCTAGAGCCTCATGAGTATATTCTTGTTGTTTTTATTCATTTTAATGAATGTTATTAAGCTAGCTTTCGCGTAATAAAATTGTGTTTCTTTTTTTTAAAAAAAAATAACAAATGGGTTATGTTATATATTGATGTATTTAAGGGGAAAAAAATTGATAGCCTTTAGTTTGATTCAAGACAATAATATAAAAATCAAATTGTCTTTCTATTGGAGTCAAACGTTTGAGATTGATTACTAATGTATTAAAACTAATTAAATAGACTAAAATAAGATTGGTTTAGTAGTAAACCATTTCATTGACGTTATCAAAGAGTTTGGATACGAGTAAGGATATTATCGTTGTAGCTCTTGCCTAGTTGATGAGATAAGGATCCTTCTACATACATGTTTGATATTGTAAATACAATGTATCATATGCATGCATCGAATGCGATGGATTGTCTTTCATTTCCCTACCAAAATAAAGTATTGACTAGATAGATTTTTCTTTTTATTTTGTGGTAAAAGATATTCTCAAACTAACTTACAATACATATAAAACGAAACTAAATTCTCTTTTTATATAATTTTAAAGTAACACCTCTCTCATATTGTCCGCAGTATGTTTAGAAAAATTTAACAATAATTAATAAATTTTTTGGATGTTGATCTCAAAACTTAAATCCATGAAGTCGAGAAAAAAAGAAAAAAAAGCAAAACTTCGTGACTATAAATTCAACCTTTATGGATTGAGACTACTATATATTTGGTGAGTAAACTTTTTTATTTTTCTTTTTGAGTATTCTAATTTTTATTTTTACTATTCGAGTGTGCGGACTTTTAAAAAAAACTTGGTCAAGTTTTATATTATATTCTATAAAAAAACATGCTAGAGTGATCGTTAAACCGACATGTCAAAATGCAAAAATTCTAATATTTATAAATTTGTACCAAAAATTCTGTTGTATAACGAGTTTGGGTTTAAAAATATTAATTTTATAAAAATGATAATTTTTTTTTCAAATTAGTGATGAAAAATTATTTTCTTTTTGAGAAAGTAGACAACATTGAGTAATCTAAGTTTTTTTATCTGAACACGTCTTTTTTATCCTTTTAAATTGAAAAAATTATATTTCTGTTTGTTGTTTTAATTTTATTGAACTTTGTCAAATAAGGCCTATATAATTATGTGAAGTGGACATTTGTTAACTTTTAAAATTAAAAGCACTCAATTGATAAATATTTGAAAGTACAACTATTCAAATAAAAGTGACAAAGTATATACACCTAAATAAATAAAATAAAATTATAAACACTATTAAAAATAAAGTCAAACGTTCACATATAATTTAATATTATTTTGTTCCAAATTTTATCGTTCTTTTTCATGATAGCGTTAAATACACTTCGTGTTCTTTTAATTATTCCAAAAGTTTATTGTAATTCTTCAACCTAGATATAGTGCATAATAGACCCTATATTATTAGGTGTTGATAGAAATCAATCCTTCCATTAGCTTTTTTCATTAGATTGATCAAATTTAATCGGCTAACTAACATTTGACCATTCATGTTGCGATACATATGACCTAAAGGTAGAATTTTAATTTTTCATTAAAAATCATTAATCTAGTTCTTTCAATTTTTTTATTCAGTGATTTTTAACTTAATAAAAATTTGAAAACTCTGAAATCATTTTTTTTAAATAATTTAATTTAACTTAATAAAAATTTTAAAAAACTGAAATTAGTTTTTTAAAATAATTTGTAAAAATAAAATTTAAAACAATTTATTTTAACTTAATAAATTATAAAAATTACATTTTTTATTTGATAATCATAAATTTATTTTTACTTAATAAATTATTAAGTTAAAAATATTTTTAATTTAATAATTTAAAAATTATTGTAAGTTAATAAAAAAATTAAAAAAAAAACTATTTTTCAACAAAAAATTAAATTTTTACCCTCAATGTAACACATGTCTTCACATGAATAGTGAGATGTGATTTAACTAATAAAATTTGATTAATATGATAAAAGGAGCGAACGAAAACTAATTTATGCCAACATCTAATAATATAAGATTTGACATGTATTATATCTAAAAAGAGAGTTATAATGAAGTTTTAGGAAAAGTATAAGGGCACATGGTGTATTTATCCTATCTCGTTTATTTTTTATTTAAAAAAAAAGATTAGAAAAGAATATAAAATTGATGAAAAGATTAAATAATTTGTTTTTGAAACAAAAAGGACTAATTAATTCGTTTCTCAAAACTAGAAGAACTGATTTATACTTTATTCTTACTAATATTAGTTTTTTTTTTTTCCTTAAAGGTAAAAAATAGATAAATAAATAACCTCAAGTCAACTTTAACATATCGAGATTAGTTATTTTCTTTGTCATAACTCCAATTTTGACCCATAATTATTTCAGATTTTGTTTTCTTCTTTTATTTTGCATAGTATATATTTCTTGTGAATTTTTATTTTTATTGTTGTGGTTGTTGTTGTTAGGTTTTGTTTTATTTAAGTTTAAAATTTTAGTTTAAATTCTCATTCCTCATTTATCATAAATGCCAAAAAAAAAAAAAAAAAAAGAAGATACAAAAAGAAGTGCATTAATTTTGAATTTTTAGGGTTTTAATTGTAATTAATTTAAAATTTTTGTGGGTCACTACAAGAACACATAAAATTTAGGAGAAGCAATTGAGAGCATAGGGGGCCAATCAGTGGAAATTAAGACAATAGGGAATAAAATGATCTAAATGGAGGGTTGTAATTGAAAAACAATCAAACAAAAAGGACAAAATTTGAAGGAAGAGCAAACGATAAGAACGAACATAGACGTTCGTCCTCAGCGACGTGTCGTCTGTTAACCCCTTCCTTCCTCCCTTCAAGTCTTGTCGCAGCTTCTGTCCTTCCGCTCCTGCAACGAGTAAAGCTACAGTGAAGAAGAAGAAGGGAAAAAAAAAAAAGGTCATGATTTGGTCGTGCACTCATTAGCTCTCGGTTGCTGAGAAAGGAAAAAAAAAAAAGCAATGACAGTAGAAGAGGAGGATTTTTAGGGATGGGAAAGGAAGAGTCGTGATCTATGATAGAGGATCAAAGGGCTAGGATTGAAAAGGGGAGGGGATTTCAGGGGGAAAAAAATGGAAATGCGACAGAAGAAGAAGAAGAAGAAGCTTTGAGATAGTAGGTTTTTGGGAAAAAAAGAGGAAAGCTACCATTTGGATTTTCATCTTGAAACTTTCGGTCATTTTCTCTTCTTGACTATGAGAAAAGAAGTGGAGTTAGCCTTGAGTCTCCCTTCTAATTTTCTCCTTAGAAGCTTCAAGAGGTGATTTTTCTCTTCCATGGCTTCTCTTTCTCTCTAAAAAACTCATCCTAGGTTGAAGGGAATGAGCGGAAAACAAATTTGGCATAAAACTTCATAGGTATATGAGGGAGGGGGATGATTTTTGGGTTAAAAACCATACAAATAAAAAATAAGGAGAGGTACATTTTAACAACTTTCGGCCATTAATGGCTTGTTTCTGGTTCTTCATTTCAAATGGGAGGCAAGGAATATTTTTAAAACATTCATGCCCTCATAGTTACAGAATTCTTTAAATCGGGTCCCTAATGTGAATGATTTGGAGGTGAAATCGATAGAAGCTTTAATCTTAGGGTTAGTTCGGTTTTTATTCGTTTTGATAGGTCTACCTTAATTATTTTAAC